AACGCCAGCTTGTTTTCCAGAGTTGCTAATGGCAGTTCGCACTCATTAGCTGTAAGAGCTCCGGTGTTCTGGTGTTACCAGGCTGTCACATTCTTGCCAGGCTGGCTGGGTGTCTTTTGAAGGCAGCTCCCAGCTCCCATGGAGAGCGTCTCATTCAGTTAGCTTCACAAAGCCTAATGCCAGATACTGAAGTAGGTATCATGGTAAGGAGGTAGTTGGGAGGAGCAGGTATGCCATGTTATGGCCGAAAGGGTCAGAGGACCCAAATCCCACTAAAGGACCAGGGAGCCACAGCAGGGAGTGGATATGTTCTTGTTGAACATTTGCTTGCCTTTTATGCAGTTCTTGCTAGCAGGAAAAAAAAAAAAGCAAGTCATTAGAATGAATCTTGTTATTAGCATTTGAGTTTTGTCTCTAAATTTGCTTCCATTTGCGGTGGACTTGCAATGCGCTGAATCATTGTACATGGCCTTAACACCTGCACACACGTCACCATTCACGTGTCTCTTGGTAAGCATGTTGGAGAGAACGTACATCATGTTAAGTGAGCTAATGAGTCCTGCCTCTGTGTGACTAGGTTTCCGTGACTTTCAGAGGAGTAGGAATCGATTGTTAGGTTGCTGTGATGTTAAAGACAGTTTAGGAAATAGAAGTTGCCATTCAGTATTCAGCTCACTCACTAGGACTGGAACAGACAAATCTATCTACCTTTTCCCTCCAGATTTTAAAGAAAACCCGGAAAGCTCTCTAGCAACCTCAGATGCCCTAACAAAAATGCCGGCTGTGTTGGATGGAAGCACAGCTTTGCTGTGGTGCAGGCTTGGCAGGACATAGCTAATGCTAGTCCTGGCCAAGGAGATGAGGAGTGACACCTCAGCCTCTTCTGGAACTGTCTTGTCTGCAGAGGCTTTAATGCAGAGCACCAGACCTCGTAGGGATCACAGTGACATTTGGTGGTCACTCACTACGTTATGCTAGGACAGTGCTGAGCTCTTTGTACACATTTTGTCCTAGAACTTAGTTATTCTTCTCCATTGGAGAGAAAGGAAACAGGCCTGGGAGTCTCTACACTTCCTTCTTCAGGCTTCCCAGCTAGTTTGTGGTTAACTCAGGACTTGAGCTGAGTTGACACATTTGGCCATTCCGATTATCAATCTCTTACCAAGACTCAATGAGACACCCAGGGAACGTTGTCCTTTGAAAGCCATCTCTGTTTTTGATTTGTGGTTGAAGGAACAAGAGACAGGAAATGGAAGCTGAGTCTGAGGAGGTGTAGGAGATGGGTGATGTTCTGTAGTCTTCTGTCACAGACTCCATGATTGGGTATTTTGTAGGGAAACAAAAGAATTACCTTCCTTAATAGCCAGGGAGAGGCAGTAAATGTAGAAAAATGGATGAGCAAAGTGGAGAGATCAAAATGTTAAGCTAGAGGGTAAGTTCATGGACACTGGCAACTAGCTTTAGGGGTTCAGTTTAGAGCAACTGTGTAAGTGGAAGCTGGATTATTGGTGTGTGTGTGTGTCCGTGTCCGTGTGTGTCCTCCTTCTTTTGAGAGGGTCTCACTGTTACTCAGTGTGGCCTCAAACCCATGTTTCTCCTGTTTTAGCCATCAAAGTTCTGGGATCTCCAGGATGTGCCATCAGGCCCAGTTAGCTGGATTCTTTTTAACACACTGAACTTACCAGGAAGCTGGGTGACTTCAGTGCCGCCTGCTGCCATTTTGAGACATGATAACCTCCATCGCATTTCAGTTAGGAGAGCAACCCTCCTGCAGAGATGCCTCTGCTTTATGTTACTGCTTAATTCTCATTTTAGTGGCTACTTGAAGATTCTTTTAATTCAAGCGAGGTGAAGTTTTGAAAGGTTTTTTTTTTGTTTGTATTTTTATTATTTTTCTTCCTAAAATGTTTCTACTTGTCAGAGGTCACGCCTAAGGCTGCTCACCCAGGATTCTACTCACCCAGTGCACTGAGAGAGTTCAGCTGTGTCTCAAGCACAAACTCCTCCCAGGTTGATTGACTCAGGATATCAGCATAGTGATGAAGAGAGATGCTGTGCAGGTTGGGATGCTTGGATCCCATTGTCAGTATGTTTCATCATTGTTGTAGACTTGGCCCTGGGGGTTGGGGGAGTTAGGCTGCTTGTTCATCATGGAACCCAAGCAAGACAAATGGCTGGGTGAACCTAGTAACTGGTATGGTGGAGTCTTACGTACACTATTAAGAAGTAATTCTTTAGTACATCCAATACACTGACTATTGATCAGGGTATTCATTCTTTGTGGATAGTTCTGGGGACTTGTGGGAATGTTGAACATTCAGCAGTCCCTTGTAGGTTCCTTACTGGAGAGGTCAAGTATAGAGTCTGAATACAAATCCCCTGCTGTGCCACGATGTGAGTGTGGACCTACGATGGTTTCCCTTAGCATTCTGTCTTGTCTTTTCCCTTCATATGTATAGATACATACATACATGCATACATACATACATACATACATACATGGTCACTTTCTGGTCTTTCTGTATGTGTAAAATCTTATAGACAATTAAACAAACCAGTATCTTTGAGGTTGACTCAAGCTCAAATTAAGGCTTACCTCTAGATGTTAACGATGTAATTATTAATATTATCAGTCAGGAGTTTACTTTACTACAAGTAAAACAAACCCATTTCCAACAAAAGTCAGTGCCCAGCACAATGATCTTTCAATTTTATGTGATTATATAGACATAGTTGATTCTCACTATTTCCAATATTTATTTCCAATAATTACATTTCATAAAACTACTGTGAACACCACATTAGTGAACTATGGAAACCTTACATCCAGGCAGATGAAAGAGAGGGCACTGTGTTTTTGTCACCACAAATGTTGCTTTATGTGTGCCTGTTTAGTATACATTACAACTAATTACATATCTCTTTATCCACAATTGAGGAGGTTACCTCTTTTTTGGTCTGGCTAATGAAGTGTTGGTATTTTAACTGTTAGCCTCTAACTGTCTGGTGTGAACCCACAGACACACAGCTGCTCCCCACAGTCTCTGTGTCATTGTCATGTACTCTAGACTTTATGTAAAGATAGAAGGATTTTCTGTTTTTTTTTTCTTTTTTTTCCTGTTACTGATTATTAATGGACTTACAACTAACATTTTGAATTACTCATGGAGAGAATTCACCTAAAACACACATGTTCTTCTAACAGAAGCCTTCTTGCACCCAGTATCACTACAAGGCACTTCAGCTCTAAGCCTAAAGGCTCTTCTGAACAGCAGAACCTCCAGCATGTCAAGGCTAACATTTGAGCAGGCTCTCGGCTCTGAGCCTCTTGATTGCACTGCAGACACTCTTAACTGCTGAGTCATCTCTCGTCCCCGACACATTTTCTTCTATTGGCTAATCCTATAGTTGCTCATCTCTGAATTATGACTTGTCTGTGCTCAGAGGGTAGATGTATTTTAAATTTTATGCCTTTGTTGAAAGCTTAAAAATTCAAACAATAAATTAGAATTGCCATAGTACAGTTGTGTTTTGTATAATGACTACAGTGTAGTCATTTCTAGAGTGTTTTCGTGTTGTGGTATGTATTTATTGTAGGTAACGTTACGTGGGTAGCAGGGTCGACCCATGGATCCGTGTGGACATTGGTGTCGGTCTTGGATGTGGAGCGTGGCTCTTCAGCCTCCAGCTGTGTGACTGTGGTGTTTGAATGCTTCTTTATCTGAAAGTGGTTGTTACTATAATGGCAGGAGGTAATAATAAACTATGTAATATTGCAGTGGCTGATAGTGTAATATCTTGGTGCTAATATAGTTATTGGTAGGAGACAGAAGACAAAACTACAAAATATTAAATTGAGACACTTGAGTGTGGATCAGCAATTGAGTTACCTGGGGAAGTTCCATTGTAAACAGATGTCTTCTCATCCTCTCTCTGCCTGTTTTGTACTTACAGGTTTTCTTCCCTAATCTTAGCAGTTTATCAAAGACTAATACTTAAGCTTAATGTTTTTTTTAGTCTAGCATCTAGACAAGATATTAAACTCTTGGGAAGAAGCAGTACTTTCTGGTCATGAAAAAGAATTAAGTTCAGTTTTATATTTTCCTGCCTTTGGTGAAAGCTTCAAAAAATTTCAAGAATAAGTTAGAATTACTATAGTGCAGCTGTGAAGATGTTTTACATAAATCAAGGACATAGTACTGTATCTGTTGTCAAGGGTTGAAGCAGTAGACTTAATTGGATTATAATCTGTTTATAGCCACTGCCTTTTAAGTCAAGAAGTTGCCTATTTTAAAGCCTGTGTTTTCACAAAAAAAGGCTGTCTGCTTTGTGCCCTTAGGCCTCAGAAGTTAGTCAGAGTTCTTCCCGTGGGCTGGTTGATGAGGTTGTCATGCTGTGTCTAGCCCTGTTGTTCATAGTGAGACTGTCATGTCCTAGAATCCGGCAGTGATTAAGATGTCTGAAATGTATGCACTACAGAAACTTGAAATGTAATCTGAGTGTTCCTAGATTTCTGGTGAAGAGGTTACAAATATGACGGAGTTAAGTTTGAAGAGTAGAAAGAAGAAACTGTCAGTTCTGGTAGACAAGTAGCCATGTCAGAGGAAGCAGGCCCAGATGGATGTACAGGGCTCCATTTCCAGGTAGGAAGCATGACTGGGTTCACTAAGTGATGTGAAGAAGATTTATTTAAAATTGCCCCTTAAGCGCTACTGAAACATAAAACATCGTCTTTCTAACTTATAGACCTACTGTTGACAATATTAACATGTTTTATTTTAAGATACAAGGCGTGATGATTATTAGGCGAGGGCCATTTTTAATTAACCCCAAAGTAATGATTTTTTTTCGAGGTCTCATTCATCTGACAAATCTTTTGCTCACACAAAACGAGGGTCGTTTTAATTGGTTGCATTTGTTACTTGATTTCTTCTGATGCTTTTAATACTTTTTTTCTAATCTTCCTTTTTTTTTAAAAAAGAAATCAAACTATTTTCTAGGCTATATGAGACCCTGAAGAATAAGAACAATGTTATGTTGGGGGTATTGGTCTCTGGGCCAACCAGGCATCAGCTCCAACCTGCAAGGAATTGTGGCTGAGCCCCAGGTGTGCCGCTTTGTATCGGACAGAAGCATCAAGGAAGTGGCTTGCGGAGGAAACCACTCGGTGTTCCTGCTGGAGGATGGGGAAGTTTATACGTGTGGAGTAAACACCAAGGGACAGCTTGGCCATGAGAGGGAAGGTAACAAGCCAGGTAAGTGCCGCCCTTGCCTTGATCGTCAGACAAATGCTCATTTCCTACCAATCCCCTTTTCTTCAGGGAAGCTCTGGCTTCTTTAAGTTGTGCAGTATTCCCCATTGAACTGTGTCTAATTTAAGCTATGTAATGGGAAAATAGCCTTTCTTCTTTTAGTCTTATTATACAACGTGCGGAGCCAGAGTGAGAGCTGAGTTTTCCCTAGTAATTGGAAGCTAAGACATGAGGGTTTTAAGCAAGAAGTCCTCACATGATCAATATCAAGTTTCCTTCCTGATTTCCTCTGCATTGTTTTATTTCTGCAACATGCTTCTGTAAAGCGTTTGATGCTGAGTGCTGTGAGGGACTTGGTGAGCAGAGATGAGGTATGCTGTGACTAGGAAACCTGTGATTCTTGTGGCAAGTTCACCACATGGATGTTTGGGTGCAGGCTTGTGACAGATATGCTCGGGTGGAATGGAGAGGTGAGGTGGGCAGTGCAAAAGGGATGACTAGACTTTTGACCCATGAACATGTGTGTGTGTGTGTGTGTGTATGTATGACCTAGTACTGACTGCACCCTAGGGTGTGTGTGGCAGGTGTCTGTGTGTGTGTGTGTGTGTGTGTGTGTGTGTGAGAGAGAGAGAGAGAGAGAGAGAGAGAGAGAGAGAGAGAGAGAGAGA